ATTTCCATGTTAGCGATAATCGAACATTTTATCGATCAACAACTTATCGGATAGATCTTCGATCAAAACACCTACTATAAAACTGATTTATACCTGAGCAGTTATCTGAAAACTTAGCGATAAACGATTGATTGATCAGATGATCGATCAACATACTTAACCCAATTAATCTAACTTTGTTATCATCAAAACTATAATCCTAACATGCCTAAAGGGTATATGGAAAAGGAAAAAGGAATACAAAATTTAAGAAAGAAGGGATTAGAGAATAAAATTGCCTAAATTAAGGGCAAAATAATGGCATATAAAATAATAAGCACATGATGGAAACTAGACCTGAGATTTTGGAGGCCAATAGATCTCATTTTTAGCTTTGAATCAAGTGGTAAAACATCAAATTTGGAGTTTTGTGCTAAGAGTTATGCCCTTCCAAAGTTGGGCTAAAATTCTAAAAATTTGAAAATTAACCATATAAACAGTGTAACTTGTTGAATTTTGTTGGCACTGTTATGGATGGAATTGAGTCCAATAGATATTTTTTTCCTATAGAACTCTTAGCAAGCTTTGTGTGAAAATCAGAACCACCTTGTTTTGATTTTTCTAGAATTAGTTATGAATTTTCAAAGTTGGTCCAAATTTAGATGAACAGTGTACGGACAGAATTAAATGTGAAATTTTGAAATTGAAAATTTTCACTCAGAAACACTGGAAAATGTATTATAATGGTTTTAATTGACATATAATAGGGTAATAAAAGAGGTGTTATATAACCCACCCCCAATTTTAACCCGGCCGGCTCTTCAAAACTCGTCCTAGTTCCTGGCTCATCTCCAACTTCAAGCTCAAAAGCCTGGTCAGAACGGTTCAATCTGGCTTAAATCATCAAATGGTCCAAATGTCTAAAATGAGCCGCAAAGTTTTTTGGTTGACGATTTGACCGGTCTGACTGGCCTGTTCGGTCCAGGTCACTAGATGTGACTCAATGAAATCTGTTTAATTCTTTTGATATGTCAAATTCTTAACTTGAAATTAGTGTTATATCTATTTGGTTTCTTTTAATTCTACATTAGCGGGATATAATTAAAGGTCAAATAGAATAGGCTAATACATAAATAGGAAATCACAACTTGTAATTAAGATTAATTGTGTTACAAAAGTGAGGGTGAAAACACTTGTGTCTCTTATATTTGTTGCCATGCCATTAGAACAGAGTTCATATTATAATCATAGTATAACTAATGGCGTGAAGTTAAAAATGAAAATAAAATGTAAATGAAAGTATACCACTTTTCTAACCTTAATTTCAAATAGTTCCCACCAAAACCTTTTTTCCCAATTATATTATATATTGATTAATAATGCCACTTTAGTTTCTTTTTCTAAGAGTTTATATGTATATTTTCTTCAAAATTTGTTGGAGGCAAAATTGGAGCCACAAATTGGATTTCTGTAATATTGTATTAAATTAATTATGCTACAAAATTGAGGGGTGAAACACTTTTGTCCCCTATCTTTCTAGTATCGCTATAAAGATTAAGTTGCTATATTTCTATGGAAATAACTTTATCTTGGGCACTATAGGAATTAGTGACTTGTTGAATTTATTCGAGAAGAGCAAAGTACTTGTTATGATACGTTTGTTGAGTGTGGGATTAATGTGAGAATCTTCGTTGGTTGTGTTCTGAAACCGGCTTTTCTTTGATTTGTGTAAAATTGACTATTGTATATCATGATTTGTATGAGCTGTCATATAATTGTTTATTTTAGTCATTACCACAAAATATTCTTCTAGAAATAGCACAAATAGAAAGTAACTAACATTTTCAATTATAACTATAGAGAGACTTGCCTTGTTGAGGGAAGGGAAGGGAAGGGAAGGTTGAGGGCGGTGGCGTTATCGTCCATTTTCTTTCCTTTCAAACTACTATGTGGGATCACTTTAGAAATTATTAGTTCAATGTTGAGAGTGGGGAGTTGAATGGATTATAATGGACAGGAGTTACACAGTACATTACTAGATTCACGAATTTTTCTTCCAATCCCACTTCATAAAGGACATTATGGAGAAATTTCCAGCTAAACCTATCATAGGCTTTCCCAAGATCAACCTTCATTGCTACTAACCCTTTTCTTCGTTTTATTCTGTTCATCACATGTAGGATCTCTTGCCCAATAATAATGTTATCATGTATTTGTCTTCCTTTAATAAAACTAGCTTGAAAAGGAGAAATCACATCATTCATCACTGACTTGAGTCTTCAAGTGATAATTTTCGTCACACATTTGTAATGCACCGAACAAAGAGATATTCATCTAAACTGAGCAACTATCTTCGGATTTTCTCTTTTCAGTATAAGAGAGATTAAGGGTTTGTTATACTCATCAACTGTCACACTTCCTTGAAAAAAACTTTTTAAAAATTTACACATGGGTGGACCAAAAATCTTCCAATTATGTTGAAAGAAAATAGGAAAGAAACCATCAAAACCGTCCCATAGCAAAAATAGCAGATTTAATTTCCTCATTAGTAGGCATTACACATAAATTGCAAAGAAGAATTATCAATTCTAGGAAAATTAACTTTAGTAACTAGGTCAATATGACCAGTGTGGTCCAGGGAATACAAAGTTTTGCAATAATCAACAACCAGCTTTTTAAGACCAGCTTCATCCTCCAGCCACTCTCCTTGGCATTTAGATATGAGTTAAAGCTTGTGAAGATATTATATGTGATTAAAGAACTTTATAAAGAATGCTGGCCCAAATGTTTCTGGGGGCTAAAAGTTAATGTCCCGCTTACTAAATGTGGCAATCAAGTGTAGGTTTACAGGTGTGTGTATATAAGTTTAGTAGGCCAAAAATTGAAAGTAACGTAATGTTTCAGTTTTAAGATGATAAACAAATATTCTAAAATATGCCACACCCCAAGCCAACTTTATAAGCCCCTGTGATGTGTATCGTGACAATAGAGTTGAATTTCTTCATTTTCAGGAAAGCAATTTTAGAGATATCTATACATTTTTTTGCAATTTTCAATTTAATACCCATGTGTTTTTATCTCTTAATTAAATCTGTAATTTTGCTCTATTAATATTGTTAACCCTTGCATAGAAACTAAAAATACTAATATTGCTAAAAAGTAAAATTAAATATTTAATTAAGAGACAAAAATACATAGGCATCAAATTAAAAATTGAAAAAAAGTATAGATACCTCTAATCTGGTTTTCTTTTTATTTTTCTCCCAATGCCCTGTTCGGTGAGCCTTGTTTGAGAGAGAAGGAACATGATTTTGTTATAATAAAGCGGTTCAATGTATCTAAAACAAGCAATTATATAGGATAGGAATGAGAAAGGAATTTTCAAGTAAAAGAGCAGACAACCTAAAAGTTAGTGAAAAACAACAATTGAGAAGCTAATTTAAGGGGGCAAATTTGGGACTGAGAAAGATTGTTTACGTCAGCGAAACGCATATTGTTTGGTGGAACTAACAGAAGCTTAAAATTAAAGAATTAATGCCCTATTTGATACGATGGAAGAGTTTTTGATAAAAGTGAAAGTAGAAACAGAAATGGAATTGGAAGTGAAAGTGGGTTTTAAAGTGTGTTTGGTATGACCATAGAAGTGTGGTATTATTTATAATTTATATTTGTATTTATAATATAAAAGTACCAAAACACCCTCAGCTCAAAAAAAAAAAAAAAGGCTCTCTCTCAGATTCATCGTCTTCTTCCTCCTTATCCCCTATCCACATGTTAAACTTCCCCCATGAAATCAGAATCAAAACCAGAAATCAATAATCATACTCAAATCAAACCCATATCTAATACACAAACCAATTTAAAAACAAAAAAAAAGTAGAAGCATGAATAAACGAGTAGCATCCTCAGATCTACTGTTAAACTATCACACCAGATCTGCCGTAGTGTTCTGCAAGTGTAGCACCGCTTGCCGTCACCATTCGCCATTCGTCGCCCATCGTCTGCCATTTGTTGTCCATTGTTCATTGCCCCATATCACAGATCAAAGAGGGAGAGTGAGTAAACAAAGAAACTCTTCAAAAACCAAAATTAGCAGTGAAGAATCATCGTCCGCCGCCTCCTTGTCTTTCGCCGCCGTCCTCCCACCGTCCTGCGTCATCCCCATGGTGGTCATCGGTTGTTTCAGGAAACAATGGTAAGAGGACAAAATGGTCAGAAATGCAGTTCCATGGAATTGGAACTGAGTTCCCGGGGGGGTAAGATGGAACCGGGTTCCATCAATTTTGATGGAATTGATTTCCCCAGGGAAGTGGGTTCACACCTACCAAACATACAAACATCACGGTTCCACTTCCACTTCCGCTTCCTGGCCTCCACTTCCATGCTACCAAACGGGACATAAAGGAATGATCACTGGTTGGAGTTGAGAAATGAAGGACAGTTGAAAGGTCCTTAAATACAATATATAATGTATTTTGTACCTGATGGCCAAGGTAGAGCTTGGATAAGTTAGAACGTAAGAGAAATTATGTAAATGGAATTATTGTTAATCTATCCTTACAAATATACTAGGTTTTGATATTTGCCTAAACCCATCAAGGAAACATTAGAAAAAGAAGTCAGTAGTAGGATTTAATATGAAATAAAACACAAAAGGTAGTAGCTCTTTCCTATAATATGATTGTGTTTGATTGCTACATATTTGTTTGTGTCATTTCGGTTAATGTTAATAACTAAAATAACCGAAATGATTACAATTAAGAAACTGAACCGAAATCAAACATAGTGAACTAACTGAACCGAAATAACCAAAATATATTCGGTTCAATCAATAGGCTTATTTGGTTATTCGGCCTTTTTTTTTTTCAAGTATTATTCTAATCCAGTACGCACAAGAAGTCTAAATAGTGGAAATTAATGATTTTTTGAGCTTTTTTTGTACAAAGAATTTATATATTTGAAAGGTGTAATAAAAGTTTTAAATTCCAAAATCACATATATCTTATTACACATTACATATATTGTGAGACAGAATAATTATTAAAAAGTCAATGACAAGTTGTAAATATGCAATTGCAATTCTCCCAAAATTTAATATTCATGAAAAGACCAAAATACCCACGAAATTGTAAATATGCTAGAAGAACCATCATGAACCATTGTCAATGAACAAAAAGAACCACCATCTGATAGCAAAAACCAACGATCTCAAGAGGAAGACATTCAACACCCCACCATCACATGGTAGAAATCAAACAAGTGACCCAAAATATCACAATAGCGTTCAGCAAGAAATCCAGAATAGATTCAGTCAAAGAAAAGATTTGACATTGCTGGTGGAGAATCACGCAAGTTTTTTTCCTGAAATTCCACAAGGCAGCCTGAAATTCCAGCCATTACTTGTCCTAAAGTTCTTTGCATACAACTTGCTATCAAGTCACCAACAACTACAATTAAACAAGAAAATTAGATAGTGCACAACTTTAGAGGTAAAGAAAAAAAAAAAAACAAACAAATTTCGCACATGAAGGCCAGAGCCAGAAAGGGAATATGCTACAGAATACGGAGCAAAGTGGAACCTGAATCAAATAGCTACAAAGCAAAGAGACTCACTCACTCATGCTTCCAACAACTTTCTCTTATTTAGCCCAACTTCCAGCAAAGTTTATTAGAACGGGTAATCCACAATAAAAGGAAATGAGATGAAACTTGGAACTCTTTCGTTAGCAAATTGGGTGTTTTTAGGGAACAATAAGCTTAGTGGGACGGTGCCCACATCCCATCTGAGATTCCCAAGTTGGGCGTTTTCAGGGAACAATCTTTCATTGGCAAATGCTCAACCAAGAAAGAAAACATCAAAAAGACTCGGTAAGTCGGCTTTAATAGGTATAATTCTAGGTTGCAGTGGGCTGGCGTTTGGTGTTATTGCAGCTTTCTTGCTTTTGTGCTACTATGATAAAGGAGGTGAAAATGGGCTAGCAATGAAATCCCAGAAAAAAGTCACGTCTCTCAAAAAGGATATCTCCGAGAATCATTGCTTAAAAAACAAGATCAAATTCTATGAATTCAGTATTGTTTTTGTCGAAGATCATATTTTAATTTCTATTTTATCATACATGAAGAATCTGATTTGAATCAAACAAAAGATCAGATTTTTCATTTTCACATGCAAGATGTGCTCAAACATGAAACTTGGAACTCCGAAATCTGAATGTTCATAATAGCATAGTTATCACAATGTCGCATTGATATACAACATTAACCACGTCTTACCTCACTAGAATGAAGACTGACGGTGAGAGAGTGAGGATGGAGGAGGGAAAGGGAGGAGATTGTGGCAATATGTGATGACTGATTGAAGCTGTGATTTGTAAGTCTGAAGTCCGAACTTTGCGACGGCTAAGGTAAGGTGTGTAGATTGGAACTTGCAAGGATGAAGGGAGTCATTGAGATAGAAGCTACAATCAGCCGACCATCGACCTGTGGCTGTGAGATTTAGGGCTTGAGGGTTCATAGATGGACAAACAGAAGTTGTTGAGAGTTTGAGAGAGAGAGAGAGAGAGAGTGAGAGTGTGATACTGTGAGTCTGTGATAGTGTGTGAGGGCAAAGCCACAGAGGGCGTGAACTGAGGTGACGTGGAGCTGCGGAGAGCTGAACTCTGGGCGGGTGTGGGTCACGGGACTGGTGGACTGGACAGATAGAGTCAAAAGAAAATAATAAGAGTGGGTGAGTCGTGGGGATTGGGGAGACTAGGGGAGAAATATTTTTTTTAAAAAGTTCATTCATATTTGATTATTTCGGTACTATCCAAATTATTTTTCAAGACACCGAACTGAACACCGATAACCAAAATACTCGAATAAAATAACCCAAAAAAAAACCGTGATAACCAAATTGAGTTCAGTTCGGTTCGGTTTTCGGTTCCGATTCGGTTTTACTCACCCCTAATTAAGCATGAGAACTTGTAATATTTTTCCCTGCATGAATTAACCTTGGTTGATGCTAGGTTCTCAAAATTTTTGATGTCATTAATCTTGGTTGATGCCAAGTTCTCAAAATTGTGATGCAAATAACTTAGTTGATGTTAGGTTCTCAAAATAGATGATGTGATTAATCTTGGTTGATGCCAGGTTCTTAAAATCGTGAAGTGAATAACCTTGGTTGATGCTAGGTTCTCAAAATTGTTGATGCGATTAACATACGTTGGTTAATGTTAAGTCGTTAAAATCGTTGATGTGATCTAGCATGACACGGGCATTTTCTTTGTAGCAATACTTGTACTATAATTTTTCCTTAGTTATAGATACGCTGGTGTGAGATTCAATTATATGCAAACCAATGTGTAACACCTTAATTTTCTATTCCTGCTGGGTTAATTTATGATAACTTGAATCACTAAGCCAGCTTTGATCCTGAAAATATAATACTCTTGCATAAATTTTCATGTAACCGATCTCATGCAGGGTTTGATCTTGCATAAGGAATGAAATTTTCTAAAAAAGTTAAAAACTTTTCAAAGCTATCTCCAAAATACTTGTTCAGTGATTCAAACTCTCAATTTAGGCCTTCTCTCTTAATCTAGCATAGTTATTTCAAATCCCCAACTTTAACACTAATAAAGCCTTTTTTTAGCTAACCAAATGACTCTAGCTATCACCACATTCGCTATTCATTGTTTACAGGCGTGATACATGCACTTGCCCTTAACTGCCTCATTTGATAATATATTAAGTTAATAATACTACTAATCTACAACCACACAGCCATCAAAGCAGATGGCATTCATCTGTCCACCTCAAGGCTCGTAGCTTCCTCTTTATAAAGGAATTTACATTCCATAAGTTCATATAATCACACTAATGAGAAATTATAAGTTCAAACTACAAAGCATAAGCCAATGACCAGCTATACAAATCATATAGAATGAGTTTCAGGGAATACGCAGTTCTAGTATTCACACAGAATATAAGTTTAAAGGAACACACAGTTGTAGTATTCATACAAATTGTGAGTTACCAACATTCATAATTGAGTACACAACTTCAGTAATACAAACCACCATATATTTATTAAAGAATATAGGTACTATGACACAAACAGACATGTAGAACTATTACATAAGAGAAAGAGTTACTACCTGAACTCCCTTTTTATGGGTTACCACTTCCAGCTTTCTTTCTTGCTTGCTTCGTGACTTGGGCAGGTATCGAATCCTATAATATAGTTTCACATATAAATGGGTCAATGCTTAGTCTATTTAGCTCTTATCATTCAAAATATAACTTCTCTTAACTGGAATGAGCTTCATTCCTTTTTAATTGATAGTTGGTCATATGAACAATATGTTATATTTATACATACCACTTCATTCTCTATCCTTAGCTTTTGAAAATTCTTAAACACTCTTCTCCATTAAATCTGGAATTTCCAAATTTAGAACATGTTAGATATGATTAGTTTTGATGATGTCAAATAATAGAGCAAAAAGTTTGCATAAATTATTTACCTCATATTTTGACTAACTATCATACTTAATATCCTGTGTAGTTTCCTCAAGAAAAGAAAGGAGTTATTATGTTGAACTTTGAGTTGTGGAGAATGATCAAGAGGAAGAAGAAGAAGAGAGATTGAGAAAAGAAGAACTTACAAGACCAAATGGAAATATCAAAATTTAAGTTCATAGATTTGATGTTAAAGGTTGCTATACTCAATCATAAGTTTGAATGGCTCAATCAGAAGCTTGAATGGCTCAATCAGAAGCTTGAATGCACAAACCGGAAGTTATATAATCATATAGCGAGTCACCCTTCATATAAACATGGAAAATAAGTTTCAGAGGTGATTTTCATGGGCATTTATCAATCACTTGATCGATCATCTATTTATCGATCAAGTTATCGATAAAAACACATACTCTGTTATGCTCTGTTCTGACATAGGTTCGGTATTTCTTTAATATCTCTTAAACCACAAATCCGTTTGAGGTGAAACTTGATTCATATGAAACTAGACTCAGAACATGGTTCATGAACACTGAAATCAACTTCAAAGAGTTTCATATGAGGGAGATATGTTGCTCGAAACATTGTAGTAAGGATTAACGCCTTGATTCCGACCTTCAGTCACTATGATGAAGATAAATTTGTAATTATAATGAATTTTGAGTTGATTCTTGTTGTATTAGAAAGTAGACTCAAATATCTTTCTGGGACTAGGTCATTTGTAAAATTTGGAGTTGAATTGGAAGAGTTATGATCACTCAAAGTTGACCTTCGTTCTGCTTGAATCAGAATTCGAATTTATTGAGGCACAGACCAGAAGTTCCACATTGATTGATTAAACTCTCGAGCAACATGCTACTCAAACATGTTATTGAGTAAAAGCACTAGAAGAAATGAGGAAATGAAAAGCCATTATCAGATGTTATTCGAGCCTGAGCAAGCAACTACATACTCGATCACTTTATCGAGTTCCTGGTACTATCTCTTCAATTCTTCTCTTTTATCTTCATATACATTATTGAGGTTTTATAACCTGTTGGATAAATGGCTTTCGGATAACATTATGGATAAATGTATTTATCGATCACTTGATCGATAAACAAGGTTAACGTTATGGATAAATAGGCATATCGATCATGATCGAAATAGATTATCGATGAGAAGACAGATAAATGGTAATGCGTTCTACTCATTCTATGTTTTGCTTTAGTCTCCATTTATCGATCACCTTATTGATCAGTCATTTATCAATAATATGATCGAACATTGATTCATAACTCTGCGTGCAGGTAATTATTTCAGCAAATTATCGATCACCTGATCAATCAGCAAATTATCAATCACCTGAGTGATCAGCAAATTATCGATCACATAATCGATAATTAGCACATTGCTTTTAAACCATGATTCTTCGATCATGGGATCGATAATCTCATTATCGATAATACGATTGATCATCGCACTTTATGTTTACCTTGTTTTCACATAACGTGATTGATAAATCAGTTCTTTGATTTTACAAGAATAAACCTCTTTATCGAAAACATTATCGATCATTCATTAATCGATCACCTATTCGATTAACCTACATAGTCTGTGTTTTTCACTGAACATATTTTCACTCATCATTTATCGATAAAGTTATTTGTCATCTATTTATCGATAATGTGTTCGAAAATTATTGCTTTAAAATCTGTTCTATAACACTTTGTTTACCGATATCCTGATCGATCAACAAGTGTTTGATCACTTGTTCGATCATTGTACAAGTTTATTCCATAACAGCATTTCACGATGATTTCGAAATATTTTATCTTTTTGTTTTTAAACTTTTCTCAGCCTTCTTTTTATACATAACTCTCTATTAAAAGGATACGAAGGCAAACGTAACTTAAAAAAGATTATCCTTGCATAATTCATTTAAAGCTAACTGCATTCATGTTTAATCAGTTATCAATCATCTGTTCGATCATCATATGATCCATAATCTATTCGATAATTGCATATATCTGCTATATCTTTTCTTCATATAATTAATCGATAATATGATCGATCAAAGCTTTATCAATCAAGACATCGATCAAGTAAGTTCATCTTACTTCTGAATATCTGAATATCTGATGATTGATTCCATGTTTTCCAACTTATTGTTTCTAAGATTATCAGATACCTATCACTTGATTTGAGGAAGATTATTTTAGGAAAAAAGCCACAACGAATTTATGATGTGAAGAATCAACTTTTGTCAGAAGCTTCCAACTGCTAGTTTCAGCAGTTATATTTTTCAAGCCAAACGGGAAGAAAATGCTCAACAGTCAAGTACCGAACATCATCTATAAATAGAGGAGCATTCAAAACAAGAAAAAAGAGAAGAGTCTGAGCTTACGACCTCAAATGCAAAAATGCCGGATCAACATATTCTCATTTAGAGCTCCAAGAGAAAACTCCCTATCTCTGTACTTCATAGACTAAAACATATGTATTCATAAGATAGAAAGGAGAGTTTCCAAATGTGCTTAAGATTCATCTATCACTTCTTTGAGAGAAGAAATATTCAATCTTCATTATCATTATTAGATTATATCCTTACGGTGAGTAAGGGGGAGTATTTACCTCGGTGTGAGGTTACTGTTGAATAAACTGGTTAGTCTAAGGATTGTAAGTGGCATCACAAGTGCCCAGATCAAACTTGTGGTTGTAGTGGTTCTCAAGTATCCGTGTTAAACTTGAGGGATATAGTCGATTGAAAATCTCAGGGGGAGCCTGAGGACTGGACGTAGGTCAGTAAGGATTGAACCAGGATAAATCACAGTTTGCATCTTCTCTTCCCTTACCCTTTTATATTTCCAGCTAAACCATTTTACTACTGTGATTATGCTTATGTCGATTCATTGTTTTTATATTCAGAATTTCTTATGAATTTTGTTACATTGCGAAAAGGTTTTTAATTTTAATTAACACCCAATTCACCCCTTCTTGGGTGATCACCCATTCTCACAAAACATACACTTCAAGACTCAAAACTCCACATACAAACCCATAAATCAAATATATTTGACCATTGTTCTTTAACTTCTTCAAATACCTAAATGCCAATATTAACCCATTTCCTAAATTACAAGGTTTCAGATTTCAAATTCTTATACGCATTCATAGAAATGTATCCCCCCAAGTTCTAACATCAACAATAACCATATGCACACACACTCTTTTCAATTTCCCATCAACCCATGACCAACAATGAGCACCCAAGAGCAGCCCTGTGATTCCAAATTAGCTTGTAACTTCAATGCATTAAAGATCAATAATTCGATCAGCCCCTCTCTCTATTCACCTCGTCCAAACTTCAAGATTCAAGCAAACTCTTGCCTCATTTCTAAACAGCAATCATCACTAAATCTGTAAATTTTCCAGCTTTCCTATTAGCTTTCGAAACCAGCCTTTATTATATTTAACGTGGCTTAGATAGTTGTGGAAATATTTGACATGGATAATTATTAAGACACTTGAATAGCCTGACAGCCACCAAAATCTAAGCTCCTCACGTCTCATCACACACTCACGCATGCTTTTATTCATATCTATTCCTCAATTATTTTTAATGTTTATGTTTTCTTTTGCTATCTTCATGGATCTTTACGCCATAACCCAATGAAGCAGCAAAAATCATGCAGAACCAACAACCAAAATCCACATGTAAATCAATTTATATATAAGCCTCTATGTACCCACTCCTTCGAAAGCCACACACACACACACATATCTTCCCTTACTTCAGTTCCACAAGTTTCCTTCTTTTTATTTCTGTTCACACAAGACCCGCTGCCTAAAACCAGCAACCATGTCTCTGCTTTCGGCAGCCATGAACAGGGGTGAAACAAGCACATGCAACACTGCATTTCACTCATTCAAGCTTCCAAATACATCTTCCATCCATTATTCATTCGGTTCATAGCTTTCTTTAACAACCCAGATTTTTAATCTATCATCATCTCCTCCAAGATGTAAAAAAACGAAAGAAATAAGGATAGGAGAGTGTTAATCGCTCTTACCTCAGTCAGAAGACACTATTGCATGTAAACTTATTTCTCCGATCACCACTTCATCGGCAATGCCCTCATTTCTGCCTACCGAGAGGGAGAAGGGGGGCTGTCCCCTTGCTGCCCCTGGGGGATCTTTCCCAATTTTTGTTGTGATTCTTTTTATTATTAAATTCTACATAAAAATGAGTAACATTTTGATATCTTATTTATAAAAAATGGTTTAATTTTCAATTTTTTTATAATTTTTTAAAAATTTAGTACTCTTAAGTTAAAAAAAAAATTGAACCATTTAAAGTGCTAAATCTTGAAAACAATTATAAAAAATTAAAATCTAAATCATTTTTTACAAATAAAATATAAAAATATCACTTATTTTATGTAAAATGTAATAATAAAAAGAACCATAAAAAAAATATTTGAGAAGAATCCCAAAACGAAGGAGCAGCAGGGCGAAGTACCCAAGGGGCAGCTAAGGCCCCTCTCTTGCCTCCCACATTTTCTCTCAGTCTCTCTCTGATTTTCTCTTAATTTGCAGATGAAAAAAGAGAAGAGAGAAGGTGTGTGGGCAGTTTATAAGGGTGAGGGGTGTAAAAAGATCACGTTGCCCTTCTAAGTTTTTTTTGTTTTTACTTTATATCGTTTCTTTATTTTTCTAAAATTAAGGAATGAATCCAGAAATTATTCCACTATGTTTTATATGGAATTCCTTTTCTCATTTTACCTTGTTTGACCGCTAAAATAATTTGTCTAAAAATTTTGAGTCAAAAATCAACTTCTATCTATTTTTCTTGAATTTTCCAAGAAAATGGCCCTTAAATAACTATCTTAAAACTGTTTGCTTAAATATAAACCTTTTACTATTTTCTTTGAATTTTCAAGAAAATAAGTCCTTTTAACTCCTAAAATTAACTTTCAAATTGTTTAAGCTACTTTTTGGACAAATAAACTTTTCAATTAAATTTCTAAGTCCTTGAAATTAATGTTTCATAATTTTTCCCAAATTTTGTTAGGCTTTAAATAATTTTAATAAATTTCTTTCCCTTGTTCTCTTGAGATTTGAAAATTGGGGATATACTAGTTATTCAACTCAGTTATTATCACTAAATATGCGCCAAGGATATGCATATGATAGCGAATGCTCTTCAATTAATTATTCAATTCAATTATTTACAAGGTGTTGTTCTCCATAACTTGTTTTACTTGCTTAGCTGTGATCATGCATGAATATATGATGAAATTGTTACCACTAAGATTCTTAGAATCCTACCCATTTTTTTTCATGACATACAGCAAGAACAAATACTTCAAAAGGCACGCACCCGGTGATGGGTGACATGTGAAAGACCTTGTGATTAGTGCAAATAGCGAAATATTTGGTGAGGAGCAACGAGTTCTATTAGTGAAATACTTGTGTGCATGTGCCTTTTCGGCTACAATTCCAGTGCTTATTGTCTCCAAATAATTTATGATTACCTCGCAGCTAAATAGGTTTTGTATGGAAATGGTTAGATTATTTATGCTTAATACCTCTTTCTCTGTCATTGTAGGATTGGATTTTATAGAACGAAAAGGTTGGTGCGAGAAATTTAGAAGTAGAATCATCTATTGACAAAGACTCTTTGCTCACATCTGTTAGTCCATCTTAAAAACCAGTTACAGTTAGTTATACTCAAATGAAGAGACTAACAGCACGGACATTGGTTTTACAAGCACCAAAAGAATCATTGAAGATATTCAGCCTCAAGAGTAAGCTAAGCCTGTGATATCTCTATTCACATTGTGTTAAACTTGACATTGATTCTTATCAAACAGATGTAGCTATTTGCATAAGTCTTCTTCCGGACAAAATAGAACAGTTCAATTATCGGATTCAGCAGAAAACTTGATTATGTCCTTTTTACTTACGTGTACAATTGAGTTTTTTCTTCTTCTTCTTCTTCTTCTTCTTTTTTAATTTGTGTGTATGATTGGGTCTAATGGAAATATTTAATCTTTCCATTTGGTGAAAAAGATTCAAATCTCAACTAAAAAAGATACTCACATTTAGTATCTAACAAAGTTTCGAACAAGGCTAACCAAAAAAAAAAAAACAAAGAGAGAATTGTGAGTTTTTTCTTTGTTTTTTTTTTTCCAAGGTAGCTTAAAGCTGCTTTGCTACTCCCGATCATGCTTGATGGAGCTGAAACCATTTTTTAACATTCCAAAGCCACTTTTTTATGCATCTACTATGATTCCAAATAGACCCTATGATTAAGGACCTATTTGAAATAATTTATAAATAGTTTTTTAATCGTGATTTACAAAATACGAAGTATAAATGTGAAAAAAGATTAAGGTAAGCCCAAGATATCTCTATTTGAATTGGGTTAAACTTGACATTGATTCTAATCAAACAGATGTAGCTATTTGCATAAGCCTTCTTCCGGACAAAATAGAGCAGTTCAATTATCGGATTTAGCAGAAAACTTGGTTATGCCCTTTTTACTTACGTAAAATTGTGTTTTTTCTTTTTCTTTTTTCTTTATTTGTGTGTATGATTGGGTCTAACGGAAATATTTAATCTTTCCACGTGGTGAAAAAAGATTCAAATCTCAACCAAGAAAGGTACTCACATTTATTATCCAACAAAGTTTCAAATAAGGCTACCCAAAAAAAAAAAAAACAAAGAAAGAGAATTGTGAGTTTTTTTTTTTTTTTTGTCTTCAAGGGAGCTTAAAGCTGCTTTGCTACTCTCAAACACGCTTGATACAATCCAAAGCCACTTTTTTCATGCATCTACTATGATTCCAAATAGACCCTATGATTAAGGACCTGTTTGAAATAATTTATAAATAGTTTTTTAATCGTGATTTACAAAATACGAGGTATGTGTGTGAAAAAGAGCAATCTAAGCCCGAGATATCTCTATTTGAATTGGGTTAAACTTGATAATGATTTTTATCAAACAGATGTAGCTATTTGAATAAGCCTTCTTCTGAACAAAATAGAGCAATTCAATCATTGGATTCAGTAGAAAACTTGGTCATGCCCTTTTTCGTTACGTAGAATTGTGTTTTTACTTCTTTTTTTCTTTTCTTTTTTTTTATTTGTGTGTATGATTGGGTCTAACGGAAATATTTAATCTTTCCACTTGGTGAAAAAAGATTCAAATCTCAACTAAGAAAGGTACTCACATTTAGTACCTAACAGTGGTTCGAATAGGGCTAACAAAAAAAACGGAGAAAGAGAATTGTGAGTTTTTTCCTTGTTTTTTTTTTCAGGGTAGGTTAAAGCTGCTTTGCTACTCCCAAACATGCTTGATGGAGCTGAAGCCATTTTTTAACATTCCAAAGCCACTATTTCATGCGTCTACTTTGACTCCAAATAGACCATATGATTAAGGACCTGTTTAAAATAATTTATAAGTAGTTTTTTAATCGTAATTTACAAAATTTGAGGTATGTATGTGAAGAAAAAAGTAATTCTATTAAACTTGATATTGATTCTTATCAAACAGATGTAGCTATTTGCATAAGCTTTCTTCCGAACAAAATAGAGCAATTCAATCATCGGATTCAACAGAAAACTTGGTTATGCCCTTTTTACTTTCGTAGAATTAAGTTTTTTTTCCTTTTTCTTTTTAATTTGTGTGTATGATTAGGTGTAATGGAAATATTTAATCTTTCCACATGGTAAAAAAAAGATTCAAATCTCAACTAAAAAAGGTACTCACATTTAGTATCCAACAATGTTTCAAACATGGCTAACCAAAAAAAAAATAGAGAGAGAGAGAGAGAAAATTGTGAGTTTTGTCTTTGTTTTTTTTAAAAGGTAGCTTAAAGCTGCTTTGCGACTCCTGAACATGCTTGATGGAGCTGAAGCCATTTTTTAACATTCCAAAGCCACTTTTTTCATGCATCTACTATGATTCCAAATAAACCCTATGATTAAGGACCTATTTGAAATAATTTATAAATAATTTTTTAATCGTGATTTACAAAATACGAGGTATATATGTGAAAAAAGAGTAAGCTAAGCCTGAGACATCTCTATTCAAATTGGGTTAAACTTGACATTGATTCTTATCAAACAGATGTAGCTATTTGCGTAAGTCTTCTTCCGAACAAAATAGAGCAATTCAATCATCAGATTCAGCAGAAAACTTGGTTATGCCCTTTTGACTTGTGTAAAATTGAGTTTTTTCTTTTTCTTTTTTCTTTATTTGTGTGTATGATTGGGTCTAACGGAAATATTTAATCTTTTCACGTGGTGAAAAAAAGATTCAAATCTCAACCAAGAAAGGTACTTACATTTAGTATCCAACAAAGTTTCGGATAGGGCTAACAAAAAAAAACAAGGAAAGAGAATTGTGAGTTTTTTTTTTTTGTTTTTGTTTTCAAGTGAGCTTAAAGCTGCTTTGCTACTCTCAAACACGCTTGATACAATCCAAAGCCACTTTTTTCATGCATCTACTATGATTCCAAATAGACCCTATGGTTAAGGACCTGTTTGAAATAATTTATAAGTAGTTTTTTAATCGTGATTTACAAAATACGAGATATGTATGTGAAAAAAGAGTAAGCTAAGCCCGAGATATTTCTATTCAAACTGGGTTAAACTTGATATTGATTTTATCAAACAGATGTAGCTATTTGCATAAGCCTTCTTCCGGACAAAGCAGTGGTTGGATTCAACAGAAAACTTGGTTATGCCCTTTTTCGTTATGTAAAATTGAGTTTTTACTTCTCTTTTTTTTTTTTCATTTGTGTGTATGATTGTGTCTAACCGGTGAAAAAAGATTCAAATTTCATTACTCACATTTAGTATCTAACCCGAATAGGGCTAATAAAAAAAAGGAGAGAGAGAATTGTGAGTTTTTTCTTTGTTTTTTTTTTTTTTTGCCCAATACTCCCAAACATGCTCGATGGAGCTGAAGCCATTTTTTAACATTCCCAAACCACTTTTTTCATGCATCTACTATGATTCCAAATAGACCCTATGATGAAAGACCTCTTTGAAATAATTTATAAATAGTTTTTTAATCATGATTTATCGAAATATATATGTAAAAAGAGTTTTGTTTCCACTTACTTTAGACATACTTATAGCTGTTCTTAATCGTTAATCCTAATGAGTCCTAAGTTGAAACAAGCGTTAATTACACGAATATTAGAGTCTTCAATGATTCAACTAAAAGCCTTGAGACTCATTCGACGATCGGTGTGATTACTCATTGAACACCCGCTTGCCAATACGACCAGAGATATTAGAGATAAACGATGCACAACTGGGTCATTACTTTGGAGTATATTTCCAAAGAAGTGAATAAATTTGCTTAATTGGCTGCCCCATCATTGTCATTATGTACATGGGGAGTTCAAGATATTACTCGCCCCTCATCGGATATTAATGCTATCCAACCAATTAGGTTGGATATCATTTCTGGTCCTTTTCTAGTTATGCAAAACATTACCATGGGCAAGAAAACTCCACTCCATTTAATTTCTCCTCTTTTCTACCTATTCCTTCAAAAAAAAAACAGAGAGAGAAGAAGAAGAAAGAGAGCATTTCATACTACCAGACAATGTTTAGTAGTGATGGTAAAATAAACAAGCAATTGAAGGATAACCATGAATCCAACGTTTAATAACATTCTGAAACTAAATGTATAGAGGTGGAACATGATCACATTTAGACTTGATAAGAACATATGGTACTGTGATCTATCTGTGCGCGTGTGTATTTCATCTACAAAATTTGAATTTCAGTTTTAATTTAGTCCTACTCAACCCAACCAGCAGTAGAAATTTTCGGCACAAATTTGATTACCTTCTAGAAAAATGAAGAGATCAACAGTTTTTCCTCTGTTTTTCATTTATCTCCCTCCCTCCTTTGCACATCAAGCAAAACAGATACAGCAGTAATATAGTGACCGACTCGGTGGGAATGTTTAATCTAAATAATCAATATGAAATTTTAAAGCCAATATTCTTCCATCATAGTTCTTCACTATGATTTTCCCAAGAGCATCTCATTCAAATGGAGGCTCTTTTTAAATGTTTGCTGTTGTATTTGCTTTTAGGAGAAGCTGGGAGATCCTTTTATCCCTAAAATTCCCATTTGGTACAAAGTATTAAGAATAAGATGTGAAAATTAGGATTGGGATTAGAAAAAACTCATTAAAAGAATATGTAGCATGAGGAATTACTTGTTACTTGAGACTAGACAATAATTCCTCGTATTAAACACTCTTTTAAAAGGTTTTCTCAATCCCAATTCCAATCTTTATCCATCATTCTCAATACTTCATATCAAATGGGACATAGGTTCTCATAAGAAGATAAGCAGATTATAACCATCTTTGTAATTTTAAGGCAAAACGTTCAGTTCAGTTTCATTATTAATTGCTAACAATACGTGAAAAATTCTTCTTGTTCATTATGCTTCCATGCCAATCATTATCCCCTTATCCAGACTTCACCCCCACGATATTGTCAATGCTCCATGAGTGACTAAAAGCTTTATCGTTATTATCTGTCAACAACTGTTTCTTATCGACAACTATTGGATCAAAAGAATGCAAGACTATTAAAACATTAATTCTTGGGACACCATTTTGTTCGCATTTCATTGAACTTCCTGCAGAAACAAGATACTTGTTACATGAAAGCAAGGACCACATCAACCCGAAAATAACAACTGTACTGTCAAAGGCAGCAAACAAAAATCAAAATGGATAACGATTCTGGACAAATTGACAGCCTCTATGTGAAAGTAAACCTGAAAACGATAACAGTAACCTGATACAGTAAAAAAAATCTTTAGCAATAAAAGCTGAATTGATTAGACAAGAAAGTTGTAGCATCTTGTCATCAACCAAATAAAAAATCAGCAAGGGTACCTTGGTTCTCATGACACTGCCATTCCCGTTCTTCCATGGAAAGGTATGAGTATAATTCCTCTACTTTCGGGGTAAATTGGAAGAGATTTACTTCACTTTTTCTAATATATGGAAAATCTCATACATATATTCCCAATCCAAGTTCTTTTGGAACTGTTTCTACCATCCATGGGGGCCTGTTTGTTTCCAAAATAAAGGAACCCAAGCAAAGGAAATTACAATTCAGGGTAAGTAACAAATAATCCAACTCCAGAACCTAGTTTAAGATGCTTACTTATTCATCACAAAGTTAAATGTTCCTTGAGATGCACGTTTGAGAAGAATTTCTCTTGCCTCGATTGCAAGTCCTTCAGGCTGCATTAATTGATGGAAGGTTTGTAACAATTCGTTTAACTTGAGTATTTAAACAATCTACTGTTGCACTTTCACACTGCACCCAGGACGAAGAAAAAAGGTGAAAAGATGAAAGGGAGAAAGGAATTCCAGCCGTACACACCTCTTCAGGAAACCAAACCCCAGGCTGTGTGCTTCCTTCAAGAACTGCAAGCACAAATGCAGCAGCTGAAGTTCCTACAGATCTGCAAAGTGCGCAAACTTCAATTGTCATTACTATAAAACTTTAAAGATTCATGAATTAAACAAATCAAAGCATTGAAGAATAAAGACGTTAAAAAACTGGTAGAAAAAATCAGTCATTTTTACCACACACTTGTGGGCATGCACGCACCGACAAACCCCCCCCCCCCCAAAAAAAAAAAAAAAACAAAAAAGAAAAAAACACACACACGGAGCTCAAGCTCTATGTGTGGCTACTTTTCTGGCACATAACATCCACAGAAAAATATATGCCATGCATTTTTTTCATCTAAGTGTTCCGTAATCACTATCTCTGGTCCTAAATATAAGAGTTAGTTTGTAGTGTAATTATTTACACTACAAATTAGCTTTTATATTTAGGACTAGAGGTAGTAACTCATTTAAATTTCAAATTGAAAATCTATAAAATGCATTAATTAAGAACACTAATGATTTAATTTCAAATCAATACAATGTCATTTTACTCAGTCAAGTTGAAGACACTGACCGGCAAGATGAGGATAAGAATAAATCACCGATTAAGATACCAAGCATCTATGTCCAAGGATAAACAATGCCTTGACTTCGTTCAAATGATTTTGCGTTCAATAATAGGCGTAATGCAATAGACACAGTTCATGCCTACCATGTTATACATGTTCCATTAAAAAGTATCATATAGAACAAAACAGACGAGATGTACATTCAAATAATTAAACTTAATTATCAATTCAAGCAATTTTGATAAATCATGCATTCATCAAAAACTAATTAATTATCTGCATGGCTAGCACTTACACAGAAAGTCTGTTGTGACTAAATATGCCCACTGTACTGCGACCACCTGAACACTCCAAATCAATCTATCCACGACATCGGAAAGAAAATGCATAACTGATTAGATGAGTTTCATCATGCATGACTGAAACTATACCCTTCAGAAGAAAAATTTTATGAGCTAAACGTCTGCTAAATGTGTACTTGTTTATCCCTTTTCTAACATTGCCTACCCTTATTGACACACGTTCTCCAGCTAACCCATCTATTGCTCGAACCAAAGGATCAAACAACTGAACCAACGTTTGCACTTTGCTTCTGTCTTGCAGAAACTCCTGCACCGTTTGCACAGAACAAGTCTTTCTGTGGTACATAATAATAACATAATGCAAAAGTAACTATTGAATTAAAATTAAGAACAGCAAATCCTAGATATTTTAGCATCTTGAGATGAATACATGCAGAACATTAACCCAAGAATTAGGGCAGTAAAGCAGCCCACGAACTTCTCAACTGCTTATGAATGTTCAAATTCATTCAAACACTACATGAAACAAAGCATAAATCAATCCATAAATTTACAATGGATCGTAATCATAATACTACCTCCAGTCCTTAATATAAGAACTTATTTAATTTTTATTTTGGTCCTAAATATAAGACCCCAATCCACTTTTTTTGAAGATAGTCCTTATAATAATAGTAGTTCTAGCTAATACAATTGATTGGCAAGGATATTTTAGGAAAGACAATACCTATTTATTGCAAATAACTAATTTAATTAACTTCCTTAATTTACTCAAATTGGTCAACTAGTTTTCATATTAAAGACAGGAGGTAGTATTGTATTATGACTGTGTAGACCAAAAAATTTTAAACACGTTTTGCTGTCAAGGACTTCAGAGGAAATGCTAACTGCTGAAGTTTCTAAAATTGATTGTCGGTTAGGATGTGATTCCAACTCATGCTAGACTATAGCTACGACCTTAGTGAGCTGAAATCTTATTCATTTCAATTGGATTTATTTGTAAAAATCTGAAGCTAGAATTGATCTTTACCTTGAGGGAAAGTGATAAGAAACATAGTATAAAATTACAAATTAAGTAGGTCTGTTAAAAATTAGAGTTTATTATTATTAAGATAAGAAGTCATGGGGTTTTCAATTGTAAAGGATTTGTTTATAATTTAACTTCACCTCTCGGGAGTCTATCTTTTAGCCAGACTCTAACTTAGAATACAATAGATAAAGGTACAAGTATAGAGGGGTTTAACCTACACCACAAAACCACAGAACCTACAGCATTCTGTTAGGTTTCTGCTTTAACTTGTGGACATGCATGGAAAAGGAGGAAAACATTTAAAGCTTTTAGGGAATAAGAGATTTTATTGAAAGAAAAAGTTGTGAAGGACTACACAATCATGGATATTATGTATTACTCCCTCCAGTTCTTAATATAAGACCTTTTTAGGTGGCCTAACTATAGAACTGATTTTAAATCGCATTTATGACGCTTTACCAAAAATGTCCTCATTTGATATATTCTAAAGTGCTTTAGAAAATAGAACCTGCCCACTCTTTAAGAAGAGACATTGTCAGTTTTGAAAAAAAGAATGTTAGCCGGTTTTAACTTCTTACCTTAACCTATGTGATTCAGTTAAAAGGGTTTTATATTAAAGACTGGAAACAGTAATATATATAGTAGAGCCTACAAATAGGCTATTTTTTATGCATACAAATAGCAATTACATTTATCTGCAAACAAGTTGGTCCAAGCAATTCAACAGCATACCTCAGGAAGGAGTCTCGTCATAGCTTCCATTCCCCAATTCCAGAAAAACGGAGCAGTTCCAAATCGAGCACTTACAGTTGGCACACCCAGGATCTCATGAGCACTTCTAACCTCTGGCAAATTCCTGGAAGTCATGTTGGGAGGAATTGTTGCTATTAGGAGTGATGAATCTTAATTTATGTTCTCTCACTTCGAAAAAAGGGGTCCCGTGTGTGTGTGCATGTGTGAGTAAGAGAGAGTCCCGGGGCATTTAATTAACTTGTAGCAATATATCATGCGGGAAAAAACAGGACCAAGGTCTTTCTGTGAAAGTTTGGTTTATGTTGCAGGAAAATGAACTTGATATAATGAATATTAACATGAACAAAATGAACAAATTCATTAGAGTTTTTTTTTTTTCCCCCCTTTTCATGAAATTGACAGAAGATCTCACTGCTATTCTGTTTGAGCCTGGAAAGAAAGAAGAAAGCATGATCCAACTTTAATTCTTTCTTTATCTTGAACTACTTACAATAGATAAACATCTCTTTTGCCAATCCCTTTGCCAAAGTCGACATTGAGCATTCCACTATAAGGCTTTAGTTTCACCTTTCTTCCTAGTTTAAATAGACCAAGATCATCATTAATCCTGCATACAAAATGATAATTTACTCTATATAAAGCAAATAACAAGTAGAAGATCTGGATAAGAACCTTTGCTGTATGCAACTACTTCCTCTCCCAACAATAAGAAACTTGTGGCTAATATGGTTGGACCTGCTCCACCACTTCCGGCTGTGTAGTAATTGAACCTGAGATGATCATCCATCATAGAGGTTGCTACATCAAAAACTGAAAAATATGCCTACAAGGGGAAAAAATGTAGACTTAAAATAGTCATGAGAGCAACTATTACCTTAGCTTCTCTGGCTTCTCTTTGTTTTCACTTTCTGCAGCACGAACTAACTCTGCCGCCATGACTACCACAAAATCACAGCAAGTGTTACTAGGAAGTAGAATACAGCAGATGAAAAATTTCAACTCTTCACTTAAAGCATGATATGACATGACATTGATGCTAATCTACCATCATCTGACTGAATCTGAGCTCACCATAATTAACCTTTAGGTATTCTATTCTCAATTCTAAGATATGCTACCAACTAGAGGCAGTGAAGGCACGACTAAAGTAAAATATTCAAGCTTTGTCTTGGACCATCCTAACCCAAACAAAGATCAGTAGCAGTATAGGGTGGAGTTGCCCAAAAAAGTACAAAATTAAAATTAAAATATATATATAGCATACATCAGCACAAATTTCTTTCAGCCGTTCATGGCCACCAAAAATCCACAGCAGCGAATCCACCATGAATAAATATAAAACATGATTCACTCGCAAACACTTATAAAATATGGTTTATCTCACAGCATCAAGTTTGTACAATAATTCAAGTGGAGAGCCTGAAAAGTACATTCTATATTTCTCAGTAATTACTCATTTTCCTTTTTTACTTTTGACATCAAGAATGGGGTGAAAGACTACTATTCGACCTAAACATATCACCATGATCAGCAGAAAAATTTTGTTTATTGAAGTTTAACATAAGTTGATGAAAAGCTTATTTCCCAAATATTTAACACATTAGATATTGCTCACAAGTAAGCACCATTGCTCACTCCAGGGTATATTCCTCCAGTCGTTATAGCAGGAACGTTTGCAGCTACTGCCCTACTCTGTAAAGATTTTGCATGAAATGCATAGCTTGTATCATCACAAACATCAATATATGCTGTCTGTGCCAAGATCCATACCAAAAGGAAAAGAAACAGAGAAGGTAGGTAAGCATATGTAAAGGAAAGAGATATGAATATATGTGTGCAGAAATTGCAATGGATAAAAAACAACAAGGATTTAGACATAAATAAAACATGTTTTCCAATGCATTATAGTCGCACTTTTACAGATTGCTATAAATTTATTGTATATGCTGGTGTGTTGATAATTGTTGAACACATAGGCTACCTTTTTCTCACCTTAGTCTTTATGGCAGCCTCAAGTACACTGCATTTTTTAGCCCGTTGGAATGGTCCAGCAGCATGAACTACAACATCCACATCTGCAACAGCAATGTCATAGCATGAATTTCAAATCCTACAAGACAAAAGAAGGATATATTCTGAGCCACCCGACGTGATGGCTATGAACTTTTACAACAATCCAGTGAATTTCTACAATAATTATATATAGGCTAAACAAATACCAACTGACTTTCAAGTAGGTAGAACCACAATATTGCCGTGATGCATTCTAGAAACGTAGGGATATCCCCAAAAATCAGCTTAGAAATAACTTGGCCATAGCTGGCCCTCCAAAAAGGGATAAAAAAAGAGACTGAAGTACCCCCTCTTGATGAGACAAAGAAAAATCTGACCTAATTTTGTTGTTGATGATGATTTGGATATTATAGCTTAACATCTTTTATTTAGAAGATCCTTTAGGAAAATAACAGTTTTAGGTACTTAGAATATAGAATAATGCACGGGTAGATAAAAATCAGGTGTAAGTAATGATCAAGATTCAAACACTCCCAATAGAAACAATGTATAGGATCATGCCAAGTGTGTTTTCTTTGGAAATAGACCAACAAATGGAACATTTATCAAACTACTATTTAAATACTACATCCAGTCCTTAATATAAGACCTTGTTTGACTTTTATTTTGATTCTAAATATAAGACTCCAATTCACTTTGTCTCTCATATTTATGTATTTTTTTTCAATATAGTCCTTTTAATAATAGTAATTATAGCCAATATACTTGATTAGTAAGGATATTGTAAGAAAAACAACACCTATTTATTGTAAATAACTAACTTAACTTTTTTCTTAATCTCCTCAAATTAGTCAACTAGCTCTTACAAATAGGACCGGAGGTAGTATGACACATGTCAATGTATTGAATCTATGTGTACATATCCATGCCATGTTGTGTTTTATATTTTTGAAGCTTGGCCAGTCCAACGTTTCAAATGTCTATGTTGTGTCCCGTGCCAGAATCAATTTCTATATTTCATAGCATATAGACTAATAACGACTATGAGCTCATGAATACGTATGCGCGCATGCACATATTTAGTGATAGGTGTCCCCATTTAGCAGAAGATGTGCAGGAGAGAAATACGGGGATGTTGAGCAGGAATTGGCAAGAAAATGGGAAAGGGGAGGCCAGACCAACAGTAGGGTTTCAGAGTTAGTCTAATTGTGGTTAAAAGGGGTATGAGAGGGAGCGGAGAGTGGCAAGAATTCAGTGTTGTAAGAATAGCAGAGCTCATCTGACTAAATCAATACAGTTAATAACTGAAATATAATAAACACGGTTACTAATACTGTAAATAAAGGAATCGAAATAATATTTATGGTTCTTTTCCTTTTACCTTCCAAAGCATTTTCTAGAGATTTCACATTGTCGATGTCAACTTGAGCAAAACTCGAATTATCCCCAAGTTTTTTCACCATAGTCTCTCCCTTTTCTCTGCCCATCAGCCATTCATTGATCATTAGCAACTAAAAGGCACCAAATTTTGAAAAAAAGCATATTCTTCTCTACTTTTAGAGGGAAATTACTGAACCTTCTTAATCAAAACCTTATTTCAAACTAAGCATATGAATAACAAAAAACGCTCTGAGGTTAACAATGGACAATAGCACTAAATGAACACCAAACACCAGTCCCCAAACATCAAACCCCACCGAAGGAGGATGCTTTGTCACATTCGTTCATGGAGTTTTCTGTTAAATTTTGAAGTTTGTCATCAAAATCATCGAGGCGACCGTAATATAGTTTCCTTTCTTTTGTTTTTTTTTTTTTTTTCTTTTTTAAATTATGAGCTAAAGTAAAGTAAAGTAAATAAACAGAGCAACGCACTGACCTATTTCGACCGGCGACGATAACTCGAAGCTCAGGACAGAAATTAGAGAGAGCAATGGCGGTGGATCCTCCGACGCGACCCGTTCCTCCAAGCACCAGGACGCTGGAATTGCGGGTCTCCTCAGGAAGCTGAACTTGTTCGACTGTACTGATTTGCCGTTGGCTCTTGACTCTGGCCTGGACGAACGCTGTCATTGGCGACCATTTCAAAGGTACAGGGTTTGGCGCCATCGATAGCCCCATCGACTTGGAGCTCTCCGCTGTCCGTCGTCGCTCTTATCAGTTTATCCGTGCTGATGATGTGGCGTCGTCCAACCATGTTGGTCGCGTGGAAAAGCCGAGACCTCGAATTTCTTTTTTTTATAAAATACACTCCGCTTCCTTTTTTTAAGGAGTGTTTGCAACCCTTAGAAGTGTTTCTCAGAAGTACTTTTTCGTAAAACGAAATAAATTTCTTCATATATTTGTTTTGTAAATCGTAAAAGTACTTCTGAAATCATAGTTTGGTTTCCATCCAAACACCCCTTTATTTTACTTAAATTACAGGAATATCTTCTCCGTTTTAAATATATACATATATCTCTTTTAAAATGAAAATAAATATTACATAATTTTTTTATGTAAACAACTGTGACCGTTAAGTTTTATTTTTAGACTTTTATTTCAACCAAAATACTCATTTTTAATATAAAAGTTATTTAAACATGTATATTTGTCAAAAAAATAATTTCTAATACAATAAAAAATAATTTTAATATATGCAAACAATTATTAATTTTGATTATATTATAAAATTTTATAATTTTAATTTTTCACACATAATGAAGCTTATTTATCTAGGTTTGAAAACATGTTAAATAAATATTTTTATCATTATATGATATAAATTGTATAAGTTTGAGAGACTATAAAAATCATTTAAATTTATAATTTAAAATTTTTAAATAAAAATTTTGTTAAAATCATATTTAGTCTATTATATATATTTAAAGAATTAATCAATTTTCATTCAATATTTTTATGTTTACATTAACTAAATTAATTAATTTCCATCCCAATATGATAAAAACATTAAACAAATAATTATTGGTAAAAATAAAAAATAAAATTAAGGAAAAGGAAAAAATTTTAAACTCTTCAAAAAATTTTAGCCAAAATTTACGGATTTAGTATTATGAAGGGTAAATTAGTAAATAAAAAGTATTTTAATATAAATTTTAATTAAAAATATCTTCTTAATTAGAACATTCTTAATAGAGTTAACAACTTGGACTTAAGTGTATGTTTTCAAAATAGCGGGGACGTCGTTGTAATTAGGGCAAAATGCTAGGGAGGTTGGAGTATTTTACTCTTTTTTTCATAAAATTGAAAACCTAATAGTATTTATGGTCCTTAGTATAAGAGTTAGTAGGGGGCTTAATCTGTCACATATTATCTATTAGTTATATAATAGGAGGGATGCTTGTAGGTTTGCTACGTGACATCTAGTTGCATGATAGGGGTCCATGTTTCATATTGCACTAGGTGTCGCATGTCCCTCCATTTAGATTTCTTTTGTTTCTCTCTCACGTGATCTCCTGAATCCCTGCATGAATCCCTTTCTCCCGCGCTGTCATGGGGTTCTTTCTAAAGGTAGTGGGTTTTTCGTTGAAGGATTTCGGGCATACCTAGAGTCTGCAATGTAATCAGGTTGCCACGCGGAGGTCCGATCACGGTGACGGAGTCGGATCTGTGTTTTCACAGCAAATGCACCATGAGAGGGAGAGAGAGACGAAGGGAGGAAGTGTTTATCTGAATGAATAAAAAAAATGAACCCCCGGTCCGTTGCATGGAGAGGAAAGAAAAACTGAAGTTATACATGGCGGCAGTTTTTTCCTTTTTGTAACTACCTCCACTTATCCATTCCTCGTAACCGTGCAGTTCCAAAAAACAAGACGGGGAATATTACAACTAATGACCCACATTTCTTGTTATTTTCACCAGGACCCCAAATTGTAATTGGGCTTGGGTCCAATCCACCAAGGGTGGACTGGCCCATTTTCCTACATCTCCCACTCACACTTGGTGGATTAGATGTCGCGGGCCTAGTCTCTTCACCTTCCCTCAATTTCATACTTAGTGCTTTGCTGTGACCGCGTGGGCATGACGTCTTCCCTTAGGTCCCTGTACTAGAAATCCCTTTTGAAGGATCAGCACAAGTCACCCTCTCCTTTGTGTAGCTTGAATTTTAAAATTATGCCTCAGATGTCCCAAATTTACTTATATACACTTTTTCACGGTAAATCTAATCCCTCTCGAGTCAATGGTTGACTCAGATTACCTTTCTCGTATGTCTAGTATCCACACTTACGATCACAAAATGTCATAAGGGACATGTCACAGACACTAGCATAGGTGTGTATATCATAGTTAATCTTCCTTTTGCCCAAGTATCACTTTGAAATGAATCAGTCGCTTTCTCAGCATACTACCTTAGATCGCATCAATCATGACCATAGGACATATGCCAAAGTAGCAGTCACTGAAACATATCTTCATGATATTGTCAAAGTCAAAGGACACCAATAGGAGGATAATTCCTCCCTGGGACTCACACAGCAATGAAACAGGGATCTTTCACTTGCTTCCCTTTTGCGGTTCTCTCAGCACATGTGGTATGAAACACATGCTACGGTGTTACTCTTTTACTATAAGAGCGTATGTCGATTTAGATTTATTATCAACACCGTACAGACTTGGGTCCAGACACACTCAGTATCTAAACCCAAATTCTTCAACTTTGCTCATTGTTATGACGTCGACGTTGAAGAGTTTGTTGTCTGGCTACAGGTATTATGGAAGTGGGATTCCAAACTTCGATCCAGCTTTATCAACATGGATCTCATCTTGACTTGCTACACTTTAGTCAAGGCGACATAAAGTTTGTGTTTCTTCTCTACCATATCAGCATTCATTGCTGCTTTACTGGTGAACACAAATGTCTCATCTTTGTTCACTCCACCTGAGTGTCAAAGGCGGTTGCCCGTGTGAGAGAGCTAACCTTTTTAACCTGTACGACATACTAGACATTGTATACTTTCAGACAGACACATAAAGTGATAACGAAATATAATTTCATTAATGAAGTATTTATATTACACTTTACGTATGCCAAGGGCTTGTACATGTTCTTTAAAAACTTTTTCGCCTATTGGCTTTGTCAAAGGATCTGCTACCATACATTTGGTTGAAATGTATTGTACAGTAACAATCTTTTGTGCTATGTAATCTCTAACAAAATTATACTTGATGTCAATGTGCTTGGTTTTGCTGTGATACTTAGGATCTTTAGTATAGGCTATGGTTGCAGTATTATCACAGTATACCATCACCGAATTGGTACTCTCATTTCCAAATCCAAGGTGTTCTATAAATCTCTTCAGCCATAAAGCCTCTTGCACTGCTGCAGTGCAAGCCACAAACTCAGCTTCCATCGAATGCAATGCAATGCACGTTTGCTTCTTGCTACTCCAACATATGGCGCCATTGTTGAGTAAGAAGGTATAACCTGAAGTTGACCTTCGTTCTTCTTCATCTCCGCCTACATCAGCATCGGAGTACCCAACAAGACGCAGGTCACCTCCTTCGTAGCACAGTGCATAATTGGAAGTGCCCTTTAAGTATCTCAAGATCCTCTTCACTGCTTTCCAATGCTTTTCACCGGGGTTAGACTGGAATCTGCTCACCAGTCCCACTGCATAACATATGTCTGGTCTTGTACACATCATTGCATACATCAGACTACCAACAGCACTGGTATATGGAACTCTTTCCATCTTCTTTTTATCGGATTCGGTTTTGGGACACATGTCAGAACTCAAAGCCACTCCAGTAGCAACAGGGGTACTCATGGGATTGCAGTCTTTCATGTTAAATCGCTCAAGAATCTTGTTGATGTAATTCTCTTGTGAAAGAGAGAGGATTCGTTTTGAACGATTTCTTTGGATTTTAACTCCAAGTATGTATTCTGCTTCACCCATATCTTTCATTTCAAAATTCGATGAAAGCCATTCTTTAATAGCCACCACCAAACCTAGACTATTTCCGGCTAATAGTATATCGTCTATATAAGGATAATATGACAAAATTACCCTCAAACCGCTTAATGTAGACGCAGTGGTCTTCCTCTATCATATGAAAGTCATATGAGGTTATTGCTTTGTGAAACCTCAAATACCACTGTCTGGATGATTGTTTCAATCCATAAATGGACCTTTTAAGTTTACAAACTTTATTTTCTTTTCCTTTTTCAATGAAACCTAATGGTTGTTCCATATAGATTTCTTCATCCAGATCACCATTCAGAAATGCGGTTTTTACATCCATCTGATGTAATTCTAAATCTAAACTGTTTACTATTGCCAGAATGAGTCTAATAGAATTGAAACGCACAACAGGTGAGAATGTATCTTCATAATCTATTCCTTCCTGTTGTGTGTACCCCTTTGCCACTAATCGAGCCTTGTATTTGTCAATTGATCCATCCAATTTTCTTTTAATTTTGAGAACCCACTTGTTCCCAATGGCTTTACGCCCTTTTGGAAGATCAACTAACACCCAAACTTGGTTCTTTTTCATTGAGTCCATTTCTTCTTCCATAGCTTTCATCCATTCATCTTTTGCAGGACCTGACAAGGCTTCTCGTACAGAACGGGGCTCATCATCCCCTTCTGGAGTAACTAAGAGAGATTCGCTTTCTATTTGAAAGCGTATTTTGGGAACACTTTCCCTGTTACTTCTTCTGACGGGAGCTATTTGCTTATCTTTCTTTCTTTGTTCAGGTCTTGGTGTTGACCTTTCTTGGCTCCCACTCAGATTGACACACCTAGACGATTCTGGTCTGTCAATTTGTTCTGCACTGACTTGCTCTTGTGTCTCATAAAGAGATACAATGCGGTCAATATCTCCTCTATTAGGAAATTCAGTCTCAATGAATGTGGCATCTCTTGATTCCATTTCAGTCACTGTTCCATCTTCGTTTTCACCTATGAAAACATATCCTTTAGATTGTTCAGAGTACCTTATAAAGATACATTTCTTTCCTCTAGGACCCAATTTCCCATGCTTGTGGGAATCATCATGAACATATGCTGCTGACCCCCAGGGTCTTAGGATACTTAGATCTGGTTTGCGTTTTGTCCATAATTCATAGGGTGTGGAAGCGACTGATTTTGAGGGCACACGGTTAAGTATGAAGGTTGCCGTTAACAAAGCATCACCCCAATATG